TTACTGGGAGTAGGAATGGGTTCAATTCTTGCAAAGAGGGCAAGTTTACATAATATTAAGGGAAAGCCTGTAATTTCATACTAAAATTCGAGGAATTGAGAAAGTTATGAATCTATCATCTGTATTCACATTGTTATACTACCATAATCTGAAATATGGATTTTAAATTAACTTGCATAAATTTCTTCTGAAGTGACCTTGCCAAAATCCTGTGACCAGTTTCACAATAGCTCAGCTTTCTTAAGAAGGTAAAAAGCTCTGCAGCCAATTAAGCCAACCGTCCTCCTCGTGGGGGCCGGTGTGCAACGGCTGCAAACAGCAAGCCTCCTCGGTAGTGTATGCAGCCTATTGGTATGTATAGGTTGCCGTAAGGGACCTTGGAGACAACATTTGGCTGCTTTTCAATGCCTCTGGCCTGGCTAATTTCTGCTCTCCCTAAACTAGGCTCCAAACTGGGATGCAAGGTGCTTTTGGGAAACCTCAATGCACGGTGGCTAGAGTCCACATTAGCCAGGTAGGTTATCACGTCCATCCGCACCTAGCTTCAAAACAAGGAGCATGTGATTCAGGCCTTAAGCAGAGCCAAGTTCAAGTTCCCTGGGCGCCAGAAGATCCACATCTCCAAGAAGTGGGGCTTCACCAAGTTTAATGCCAATGAGTTTGAGGACATGGAGGCTGAGAAGCGCCTCATCCCGGATGGCTGTGGGGTCACATACATCCCTCACCATGGCCCCTTGGACAAGTGGCGGCCCCGCACTCATGAAGGCCTTGGTAGCCCTGTGCTGCCTCACTGTACCCATCAAATAAAAATGGAACTTCCTGATTAAAAAAAAAAAAGAAGAAAGAAGGTAAAAAGCTAATCTGGTCAACTAAGAGTTAAACTGATAAAGGGGGGAGGAACCCTACACCCTAAATCTTATAGTTTTCAGTCGGTTTTGTTCTATCATTTTCTCAATAAGACAAGACTACAATCTAACATACATTTGTCTATATGTAAAAATGCTTCCTAAATGTACATAATTAATATATATTCATTTTGAATCATTTTTCATTTTCTTTAATGAAGTATGTCAATATATTTCAGTCATCAGGATCAAGAATAAGAAAGGATAAAAAAGTTCACTGAGTCTCAAAACTATTTAACAGCTGACAAAAAGATGAAAAGATGTTTAAAATCATTAGTCATTAGAGATATGCAAATCAAAACTACAATGAGATTATCTCACCACAGCTAAATTGGCAATGCTTTTTTTTTAAACGAAAGAAACAGGAAACAATAAATGCTAGTGAGGATATAAGGAGATTAGAATCCTTACTCACTGCTGGTTGGATTATAAAATTGTATAACCACTGTGAGAGACAGTAGGCACTTCCATGAAAAGTTACAAACAGGAATATATTTTGAGCCAGCAATTCCATTTCTGGTTATATACTTAGAGATATAATAAAAGAGACATGAGTAGACATCTTCATGTCTATGTTCACTGAAGTACTTTTCACAATAGTCAAAACAAAAAACAATCTCCATGGTCACTCATGTGTCCACCAAAAGATGAATGGATGAATAAAATGTGGTACTGGCACATTGGACACCACAACAGAATGATGAGTCCTTAGAATATCTAATCATGTGGAAGACCTGGAGAACATTATAATGAATGAATAACTCAATCACCAGAGGGCAATTATTGTATGATCTCACTTTTTAAAATGATAAAAAACAGTGTATATATATATAGAGAGAGAGACCAATGTTGATTAGTGCATATCATGGGTGGGAGTGGCAGAATCGCTCTCTAGATAGTAATTACTGGGCATTTTCAGAAATAGGAAAAGTAACCCCACACATAGGTGCAGGGTGCACAGCTTGACTGAGATAAATGACATTACTAGGATATGCACAAGGAAACATAATATGCAATAATTGTTATAGCATATATAATTTTGCAACAGCTAAAATAACTAAAGGAGCGGGAATATGCATATGCATGTATTTATTTATGAATCTGTTTAGCTATATATATGCGAGTGTATGTGTGCACAAATAGGTGTATCTATATATACACATGTGTGTATGTATGTATGTATGCATATGTATTCAAAAATAGAGTAAAGCATATAGATGGCATAGTTATGGAAATTTCTTAGAAACAAAACACTTCGTCAATTCATCAATTGGCCTACTAGCTAAATTGGCCTAATTTAATTCATAAAGTTTAGCACCTGGGATCTTTAAAGCTGTCAGCATCCATCCACAATACAACTATTGGTTTCTTTTTATCTGAGGGTAGCAAGAGGCAATGAAGGAAACCAAGCTCAAACAAACTAGTTTGCAGGAACACATAATAGTCTACAAGAACCACACCCTCTTCCAACCCGAGACCAGAACTAGACCGTGCCAGGCTACTACTACCTACCATTCTTAGAAGAGCCACAACATATGTACTCTGACTGAAGGCAATAAAAATATAGAACAGAACTTCACATTCTTCAAAAGTCACGCTTATTGGACTGGTTGAGACTAGAGGATTCCCTATGCTACCTTTTTATATTAATAATAATTTTGATTCACAAATATAGAAGATCAACCATGACCTTTAAAAAATGTCAATATGAGACCAAATGGTCTCTCTCACACACACATAGACACACAGAGGGGGACCCTAAAAACCAGAATTGCACTGAATGGACTGGCGAGCATTGAGCAACTTCCTCAGAGTTTGGGTTCTTTCTGGTCACAGTGAATTTTTTCATAAACATAGTTTCACTCGTACTTCATTTTTTTAAGAGAACACTGTGCAGCCTTGAGATTTTATTTCCTGCTCAGGAAAATGTCGCAGAAACTGTGGCAACGTTGAACCCATCTTACAAGGGCAGGGCTATGGGCAAACTTTGAGTGTAGGTGTGGTTTTCTCATTTCAAAAAAGGTGAAATGTCAATTGACTACCAACCTCATTCTGGACATTCATCAACTTTCCGAACAGATGAAAATGTTTTCTCGTGGTGCATTTGGAATTTGTTCCACCAGGTCAGACTGTTAATCAAGCTTTCTATTTCGAGCAGTGGTTCTCACTTCATAACTCTAATTTTGCTACTGTTATGAATCAGGCGATCCCTGTGAAAGGGTCGTTTGACCCCCAAAGGGGTCACAACCCACAGGTTGAGAACCACTGATTTAGAGGTTCTGAAAATATTATGTAACAGTGTGTAACAAAAAAGGGCCTGATTTGAGGCAGATGGGGAACTGGTTTTGCCACCACAAAAATGCACCTGATCACACAGCCATCTGAGTGCTGCCAGTTTTTGGTAAAAAGAGCATGCATCTCTTGCTCCGTGAACCTTACTCACCTGATCTCGCTCCGTGAAACTTCTTTTTGTTGTCGCAAATGAAGAGGAACAAGGAAGGATAGTAAAGAGGTGAAGAATAAAACGAGGGAGGTACTGTCAGCCATCCAAACATGAGTTTGAAAATTGTTTCCAGAAATGGAATCGCACATTTGACAAATGTACTTAGTGTAATGGAGAGTACTTTGAGGGTGATAAAGTTGTTTTGTAAAAACTGGTTAAATACTTAGCTTTGGGGAAAAAAATGCTGTTTTTTTGTGGGGGTACCCCCTCTTTTATATGAGAAGGTAAAGGGAAGGGCTTTGAATTCACTCAAAGTGGTGACGTATAGCCAACCCAGAAAAATCAGAATAAACATGAACGTTTCAAATGTGAGAGTAGGAAAATGGTAACGAGATCGGGAAAAATTATGAGTCAAAGCGCTGCAATGGAAGGCTCTGAAGAGGTGCAGGGCCCCATGTAGGGAGCCCTTTCTGGTGAGCCTGATGTGGAAGAATGCGTTTCACCGCGGGGAGCTGTAAAGGGTATGGCTGGCCGCCATCTTTGAAGAGGCATCAATGGATACGTCTGTGTCAGTCCTGAGAGTTGGCTGCCTGCAACATGCACCCTGTCCTTGTTTTATAAAAGGGAAATTATGTTTCTATAAGGACATAAAAACTGTCATTTTTTTTCCCATTCTAGTTTTCATTCTGGTTCACCCACATAACCTAGTTTGCCACAAAACACCCACCCAAAATACACAATAAAACATTATTTTTAAAATGTATCATTTTCTGATTTAAATAAACTATAACAGAGAGTTTCCTTAGCAATGATTCAACAGTATCTTTTCTCCCCATGATTTCAAACATTTTAAATATCTAAATTGGTTTAAAAGTGTGTATAATATATTGTTTTGCAAATAAACGCACACACAATCACTTAAGTATGAGGCTTTGTATTAGGTAAATGTTGACATTATTTTGGAAAATTTGAAATTATGAGTTCTATTATGTAACTGAAAATAACAATTTAAATCTTTTTTGTATCTTCCAAATTCCTCATATACTTCACAAATCGCTCAATTCTTACTACACTTATAAACTTATACAAGTCTATTACATTCAGTGTTAAATAAAATCATGCTTTTACTAGTTCTAAAAGTGATTATTTTCCTTGAATAAATCCTAATACATTAGAACTTACAAATGTAGTATTCCCTTGTTCAGCAAATTATAGGTAAGGACCCAAGGAGTACAGGAACTATTGTACCAAAAAACCAAACCCCAAACAAAAACAAAGCCAGCCATGCCAACAGGATAAAGACACATTTCTGGGAAGGCAGGGCAGCAGAGGCTGGTAGGGATATACGTTTTATTAATCATTCTTTTTAGAAATAACCGTGAAATTGCATTTGTTTGCTAAGGTTTTCCCAAATTAAACTATAGGGTGGTGGAATCCTAGACATTTTCAGAAATAATCTTCATACAAATTAAATTTCCCTTCTTATTAGCCAGTTAGAGGCTGTCTCCAAATAATTTCGCCCTTTTTAATACGGTAAGAGGCAGTATTCTTCTGCATGCTGGGAAGCAGTGTTTAAAGATACGCGGTGGCACTGCATTCCTCTGATTGCAAGTGACTAAGTGAACCGAGCACATGCGCTGCGGGTAACCTACCCATGGGCGTGCCGACGCCATACCCTTTGGAGTCGATCAGGCCGCCGATCTGCGTCAGGTTGCAGTTGCGCTGAGTGACGAACTCGATGGTGGTGGACTCCATGAGGAAAGCGTAATCGGAGGTGAGCACGCGCTGGATGCCTTCTTCATTGCTTTTGACGAGCACGGACTGCCTCCTGCTGCTCATGAAAGCCCACATTTTGTCATACGTAGAGATTTTTGATTTCTGGAGAAAAACAAAGTGCATTTTGATCATAAGAAGGTCTCACAATACAGATAGAAATGATTACATCAGCCCCTACAAATCAAAGTCGGCCTAAGGAGGAATTGATAGCAATTCCGCAATATACAGGGAATCACAAAGATTTAGTTAACAAATATTTACAACACTTCTTAACATTCAAACTACATAACTTTTAAATTATAGAAAATTATAAACAAAAGTGAAAAAAAGCAAGGTTATTGAAAAGGGATTGTTGAGCTTGTATCTCACTTGAGTACCACCTGTGCATACATTTATATTTCAACATTATTATTACATTTGGGGGAAACAGATACTGGCATAGATTGGCGTTGTAATACTGAGAGAGATTCCTCCCCCTCTCCACTATGGTTGGCCATAAGACAGATGTGACATTACCCCAAGGACACACAAAAGTGTAAATGGAAGTTTTAAGGGGGGGGGGGTGTTTACAAATAAAAAATAACTATGTTTCCAGAGACACAATCTGATCACCACAGAATTTATTTGACACTGTCACAGGGCATCAGGACATCTATCACTCAGGAATACTAACTAAAGATTCCCAGACCAGTCAAATTAAATGTTTTCTTTCTTTTTTTTTTCCCCCAGCTGAAAATTCTCTGTAGAGTTTTGTAGGATCTCACTGGTAAAGGAAAGAAAATGAGGTTTGCTCAGAAAGTGCTAGTAAAATTTAAATTTCAAAATATCAAAATTAGCATCTCTATCTGACACACGTCTTCATGTTTAATTCTTTTACATATATTACAAATAATGTTGAACAAGGAGGATATACATTATCCTGTTATGAAAAATCAAATTATTTTCAACCAAACAGAAAAACATTTACTCTTTCTCCAGCTTCGGCATTTTTTCTCTCTACAAATGTAGTCATAAATATATTAGCAGTATTTCCATTAAAAGCCAGGTGCACAATGTTACTGAGGAAGTTTCTGGCATTCGTTTAATAGTAAAATTCGAGGAAGATGCTAAAATGTAATTGAAACAAAAATATATCCCAGAAGTCCTTTTGAAAAGAGAGGCATACTATTGGAACTGAAAGAGCAGAAATGCAAACCTGTGCCCTCCTGGGCAACACTCTGACAGACTCATTTTCCGTGTTCTTGTATGTAAATAACATTAAAGAAAAAAAGCACCTAGAATAAGATTGTCAGGCTTATAAGTTTGAGCAAATCGGGTGGCATACCACTGCTTTCCAAAAAAGACAAATCTTACAGAGAAGGTAAGACCAAGCAATAGGTAAGGTTATGATGTAAATCAGATCAGATTTTGTATATGCTTATTTCTCAGTACAAATCAGTAACATAATGAGGATAACTGAAGTGCGTTGCTTGAATTCAAAAGAATATTCCTTCTAATATTCCTTCTAATAATAATATTTTGTGGCTGAAACCCAAAAATAGAAAGTAAAGTAGAGTTCTTGGATTTTATATAAAGAACTAAACTTGGACCCTGTATTACTTAATGATAACATGAGTATTGGTAGACACAACCTCCTAAATGATATTACCCTGACATTTGTGTAATAAAAGAAGCACACTCGTTATTTGACCATTAAAATAGTAACATCTTTAACCATTAGAAGTGTGCAACCTCAGAGGCCCAAACCAAGCAGGTCATTAAGAAAGTGTATTAAAATTTAGTTTTATCTGTAATGGCCATAAAATTACCTAAATTACTTGCTTTGCTTCAGTTCTAAGTACACAAATATTCCATATTGCTTTACTTATGTGATGCTCACCTCAGGATAACATAGTCCATATATTAATAAAAACTCATTATAAAGAAATCTTCAGCATCTTATCGCACAGAGGTACAATGCAATGGTTACAGTAACGCTGCTCATTTAGATGATTGAAGTATGTCTTTCTTTCCTGCTCCCTCCTTAGTTTTAAGTGGCAATTTCTCATTCAGATGACACAATTTAAAACGAGTAAGTCAGATTTTATCGCAAAAAGTAATTACTGCATCCACTGCTAACAAGAGGTTCCCGTTCCTTCAATTCTTTTTAAAATTCAATTTTGTAGAGAAAAGTCATAATCTTCTTAGGAATATGCATTGATCATACTTTTTTTTAAAATCAATTTATTGGGGCTCATAAAATTCATCACAATACATAGATCAATTGTGTAAAGCACATCTATACATTTGTTGCCCTCATCATTCCCAAAATTCGCTTGCCTCTTGGGTGCCCGGAATCAGCTCATTTTCCTTCCCCTCCCTCCCCCTCCCTTCCTCTGCCCCCCTCTCCCATGCACCCTTGATAATTTATAAATTATTATTATATCTTATATTACACTGCCTGGCGTCTAAAGCATTTTGATCATTTATGGGGGAATACACAAGGATATTTCATCTATTCTGGATGGAATTCAAAAGACAATGGAAGAAAAAATAAAGGGTAGAGATATTTGAACTGGTAGATTTTCAAATCTGTTGTATTATGAAACCAATTCATGTTATGAGTTATAAGCATAGAACTCGATGAAGATTTAAGCATTTCTAACAAGTAGTCCTGGTGGGGTAGTGGGCTACGCAGTAAGCTGCTCTCTGCAAGGTAAGCAGTTCGCAGCCAACAGTCATTCCACGGGAGAAAGATGAACCTTCCTATTCCCACAAAGGGCTGTAGACTCAGAAACCTGTGAAGGCAGTTTACCCAGTCCTCTAGGGTCGCGATGAGTTGCAGTTGACTTGATTGCAGTGAGATTAGAACAAGAGTGAAAGGGAACAGCTCTCCAGAACAACATGTCCAAACAAACAAACAAACAAAATCGGCTTTCTACTCCCATAACCTGTTAACAATCTCAGAAACACACAGGACCCGTGGGAACGGTCTTCCATCCATTTGCTCTCCGTGACTGTTTCTTGGGACTCCTTGTTTTCATTGTTTAATCGTAACATCCAATTGAGCACTGTTACTAAGTTGTACCTACCAAACCCGACTATAATACACAATCCTTTGCAGAAGAGTTATGAGACTCTATTCTATGATGACATTTGTATTTTTATTTGTGACTTTGTTGTCATAAATGCTTATTAACTCTAGAACTCAAAGTGAAAGTTCAGAAAAACAAATGTTAAAAGAGGCTATTTTAAAAATTCAGAGGCCGCTGTTCTCCCACTCGCCGCACCCTCCTGTTGTACATTTTAGCGGGCACACACAGCACTCGCTTTCCCGTTGTTTCATCGCTGGCAGAGAGATAATGAAGCTTGTGTGTCCGACTTTGATCTGCTCTAGAACATTTATATGAACCAAGAAAAGCTTCTTAAAATTCAGGACTATTAATCTATTCAACAGTTACCTATTTGTACATAAAGATAACACGAAGGACCAGCCCTTAAAACATCTTGGCAATTCCACTACTTCATTATTTTTTTAACTGGGAAAGGAATATAGTGTATAAAGGTTTAATGGGTGGAGTAGGGTGTCTCTGAGACCTTACTCAGAAAAGCTAAAAGAAGCTTGTAACACACGTCTAAGCAAAAAGCCCAGAACCAGAAAGAAATATGTCTCAGACTGAGAACAGGCAATCCTGAACAAAGAATTCTATTCTGAGTGTTTCTGACTTGTAACCAGTTGCTTCCTTAGTAACTCCTGAAACTGTAGGTTAGTCCACTTTGTGAGTTATGTAGGGCCAGTTATGAGCATTGATAAAAATGATCTATCAAGCCCAGCTCAGAAATCGCGTGCCATAGGAGGGGTGGATGCTGTCAGGATTGGTTAAAATATTGAAAGGTCTGACCTTAACTCATAGAAATCAGGCTCAGGCAGCTGAGCATGATGGTCTTCGTTCTCCTGGCCCAATGTGAAATTAGAGGCGCGTAGATGCCACCTACGTGCACTTGGTACGCCATGGGTTTTCTCACATAAGGAACGCTCCTTACATAGCCCTACGGTCAGTCACTCAGCAGTCTTTAGACCTGAGCCAGCACCCTTGAGTAATCTTGCAATGAACCTCATAAAGGCTACTAAACTGACAACTATTGACAACCAGATATTTGAGAAGAATCTTTTACTTGAAATAAAAAAAATTAAAAAAACGGAACAAATGAAAAAGCCTCACATATCCTCAGGAAGCTAAAAGATACTGACCAAATGAAGACACCCCCCCAAAAAAATTAAATAGAAAATTTGTAATTAAATATTCTGAAAATGAATATATATGAGAAACATCCAATACAAAGTGAAAGCCTTCAGGAAAATGTTGTAAGACAATTTTGAAGAAATCTACCAGAAAAATAACATCGAAAGTTGAAAATATAGGGGGAAAAGTGGGAGAAAATATTCCTAGGAAGTAAACTCAGCTGATATATCAAGAATGAGTTAAAATCAAATACATAACAAGAACATTCAAGAATTTTCAAGACAAAGTTAAAGCAGTGTAGATGCCATCTTGTATATTAATATGATAGACTTAGATAATTGAAGGAGACATTTTGGGGGGCTAAGACTTTGGGAATGTGGAAAAAAAGGCCTAGAAAATGAGAGAAACATATCCGATGCCGCGACGAGCCAAGCCGCTCTTGACTTTAACATGTGAGTGTCCGATTTCTAAGATTTGCTAAGCAGAGTTCTAGACACTGGCTAGGTTCTGAGCATTGCAAATCATTAAAATGCGAGAACATAATGGATATTTTCCTTACTCCAAGAGCAATGAACAGCCACAGTAGGTTTGAAGCTAAATATCTTTAAACGATCAGAAATGTATTGTATCGCTGTTCAGGAGGCTGGAAGTCTAAAGTCAGAGTGGCAGCTGTAGGGCAAGGTTTTCGTTGTGAGTCTGGGGCAAAGTTCTTGTCTCTTTTCAACTGCTGATCCTTCTTTCTTGGATGATCACGTGCTTCTCCTCATTTATGCTTGCTTTCTTTTTATGCTCTTTGATATCTTAAAAGTGATTAGCTTAAGATATACCCTAATCTCAATTCATTAGCATAACAAATACCTATACTCAAATAGAATTATA